GTGTGTGTGTGTGTGTGTGTGTGTGTGTGTGTGTGTGTGTGTGTGTGTGTGTCTGAGAATAGATGACATCATTCTAACCACAGTAATGATTAAACCCATTTCATCATAGGTAGAAAATAAAGGAAAACATAAACATGGTTGTTGCTGAACCTTAAAGCATGAACTGTTTAGAGATTTTTCTAAACCTAGTCTTGTTCCAAAAAAAAAAAAATTAATAAATAAATAAATCAGCCTGGCCTCATTCTACCCTGGTCCTGGTTGTGTTTGATTTGAGCAGAGTGCCGCCTCAAAGTAGGCGAGATCATCTTATTGCAATCGCGCAAACAACAAAACAACAAAAGACTACACCAAACTTGAAGGAAAAATATCAAAGGATGTACCGGACCATCCAGCATGTATGATGCTTAAGCCACAAGGGCAAGTCGACAGAGGACGGTAAGCTAATGGTAGCTAATGTTAGCTTGTTTGTTAGTTTGCTACAGTTGTTTATTTTTAGTTGAACTTGTGTGAAAAAACATTACAGTCATTGCAACAATTCATTTAAAATTAATCTCATCTGTGAAACGTAAATCACCCCGTCAGTGAACCAATCACTGGGCAACAGTAGCTGACGTCAAATCGAGGCGATCAATCTCGCAGTTCCAGAAATCAGGGTGGAACTGGGCCATAAGGGCTAATGCAAACATGTTGAACCTGGGTTTGAACCCAGGCCGTGCAGTGCAAAATGGCCTATAGAAGACAACTTGACCAAAAACAACCATTAGTATCTCGTTATGTTGTGCTTCCTAACACTGCTCTTCTTCAGCATCAACATCCTGATGTTCTGACTTACCTGTGTGCCAAGTGTCATACAGGGAGAAGAGGAAAGAGACAGAATGTCACAGTGACAGAGGAAAGAATTGCACATAATACAGAGATATACAGAGAAAGTTGAGTGTAAAAAAAAAGGGGAAGAAAGTGTCGTGTTGCTGCACGTTTACCCCGAGCAGAAAGGATTACACCCCTGCTCTCGGCTCAGGTGGAGGAGTGTGATTTGGTGTGATTTGCACATCCCTGCGTTTGATCTGTACGTCACACTTACGGCTCTGGGCTTGAACGGCGGCTGCACCTCCTTGTTCTCCACTTTCTCCCAGTCCATGTAGCGAAAGAAGCTGTGCTCCCTGATGTCTCGCTCGCCCTCCGGACCGCAGCCCAACCTCTTTGCTGGATGCTTCGTCATCAGCTGGACACAAGGGGAGAGACGAGACATGATTTCTGCACCATTTGTCCCGCTCTTTGCAGTGCCTGTTTTCTCTATCTGCATTCTCACATCTTAATTGTTTGCATTTGTGCAGAAGCTGCCAACACCCATCTGTTTCTCCGGCTCTCCTTTTGTTCATTCACTATTCTCATCCTGATTATTTATGAATTGCAATCTATCTTGTTTGTGTCATACAATGAAAACAGCCTGTCCAGAGCTTAGTGCTTAATTTCATCGTCCTACTTGTTMCGATGCAAACGCACATTGCTGTGTGCGTGCTCACACTTCAGCAGGCCGATGCGGCGCGAACATTGTTAACACTTTGCCCGTGTTACTGTCGCGGCGAATGAAGACGAACAATTGGGCGCAGCAGAACGTCAGCCCGGTCCATTACCGAACACGTACAGTGGAAATTGAACAAGGAAAAGCGACAGCCAGAGAGCGTCCCCTCGGAGAGAACGTTGGCTGTTCTGGAGCGGTCAGTTTACGGGGAGCAAAGTTAAAGGAAAATGAAAGGCTTAACATACTGTATCTCCTGCCAGAGTTTTAAACTAAGATTCATGTTTGATGATTTTTGTGTTWTTTTGTGTCTGTGTGGTGAGATCACCTGTCTAAATTAAAGTAAATAAACAAAATGAGATCATCTCATGGTGAGAAATGATTAGCCAAATTAACAGTCTAATCTTGAAAATATCATTATACACAATCACAGTCAGAGTATTTATGAATGACTTTCTGCTACTAGCTACTACCACGTTACATGTGATCACCTCTGTAATATTATTTATAGTCATTTTTGTGACTGTCAATATGATTTAGTGTGGCGTCGTGAACTGGGTTGACTTTGTGTTAAATATATATCTACTAATAATAACTGAGAGTTAATAAAAACATTTAGTGGCTCATGAGATTTTTTGCTAACACAGAAATGAACATAAACACACACACTAGCTGCGTTTCCATTGCAAGTGTGTGCAAAACATTGTAGATATTCTGTTAACGTTGAAAAAACAAAGTTTCGCAATAGCTGTGTTTCAATTAAGTAAGAAACACYATTAAAGTCACGTGTGAAAACGCTTGTTCATTACAAACATGGCGACAGTGGATGTAACCACATAGCATAGTAACCATGACACTAGCGCTCATCATCAGTCATCAGAGGAGATGTCGGCGTCTTATCGAGGCTTTCGAGTGACAAGCCCCTACTTGGGAGTGGCTATGTATGCTGTGTTTTTGGGAAAAGGTAGTCAGTGAGTTTAATACTTTCTTTTACTACTTTGGTTATTTTACTACTACTTTTACTTCCTGTTATCTTTTTCTTTGTCATCTTTTCACCAGTAGAAACAGCCGGTTCTTGATCACGTGACTCCCGTGATGCGAAAAAAGTGTTTCCATTGCAGTTTTGCGAAATACATCAATTTCGATACGGCCGAAAAACCACCTCTTCCGAGTGCAAAACCATTTAGTCGAAAAACATAATTTTTTTCAAAATTGACGTGTTTCCACTGAGCAAATTTATTTTCGAAACTCTAATTTTTTGCATTTTCATGGTCAATGGAAACGCAGCTGCAGAGACACAGGCAAAAACACCAGTCAGTGAACGGTTGCCTGTCTCATTTGTGTCCAGTCTGTCCAGGGTGCACCCTGCCCCTCACACAGCTTGGTGTTTGGCTCAAACAGACCCAGTTCTAAGTCCAGGAAAATGCTCAATTGAGCTGAAATTAAACTTAGACTCCTAGAGACTAGCAACAAAATGTATTTAAGGGCTAAGAAAGTGGACTTTGCAGGTTATGTCTCCTTTAAGAAGGGTGCTCAACATACTGTATGCAGGTGGACTGCTTCAACGGACAAAGTTTTGTGAACAACAGAGAAAGAGCTAAATATTCCTTCTGCAATTATTAAAGCTGCCTGGTTACCTTTTTTWAATTAATTTCCATGGAACAAACAAAAACAACATGTGTCCTGGAGTGGAACCAATTATCTTTACATCCTGATTCAATCCTTCCCTGCTGAACACAAAGGGTCTGAGGATTAAAAAAAAAAAAAACGAGCAGCAGCTTCTTGCTTTAATAAGTTTCAAATGTTGGTCTGCCCCCTTTTTCACAAAGGTTGCTTTAAATTAATTTACTCATGAAAAGACATGAAGATTTCCTAACAGCAATTTGTAAGTTTCCCACAACAGACAAACGAAGGAGGCATCTTCTTCCTCCTCCTCCTCCTTCATTACAACAATTGTCTACAGGCATAATTAAGAACAGTTTACAGACTGTCCAAACATAACCTTAGAGGTGAGTGATGTTAACCATATGTATGTGTGTGTGTGTGTGTGTGTGTGTGTGTGTGTGTGTGTGTGTGTGTGTGTGTGTGTGTGT